CCCCACACACCGCCAGAAGCCTTCCGATTGGCTGACAGAGCACCCAGAGCGGCTCCCTGGACGGCATCAGAGCGCTAGCCGCAGCTTCCTCCCTCCCGCCCCGCCCGCACGCACGCCTGCCCACCTGTCTGCGGCTCCCTGGAAGGCAGAGCGGACAGCTGCAGCCAGGTAAGACATCCCCCGAAAATAAGACCTAGTGTCTTTTTTCGTAGAAAAAAAAATATAAGACAGTGTCTTATTTTCGGGGAAACACGGTATGTAGTTTATATTTTTTTCATCTCTGCTGTGTACAAACAATAGTGGAAGCAGACAATAAAATACACTTACTCTCTGCACTCAAAAGGCAGTCTGTTGAATCAGTACCATATTCATTCTCAATGGTGCACTGATAGACTCCACAGTCTTTCACTGACGCCTGCACAATTGCAAGAGCCACCTGCCCTTCATCTCCAGAACTATGAAATAAAAAAAAATCAGTTTATGCATTTGTTCCAAATTGATGCTATGCAGTTTTAGTTACAGTTTAAACCTATAATTACCATGTATTGCAACCCTTATTCTGCCTGGAAATGAATTCAAACTTGCCACTTCACTATCAATGAGACTATGTTGCAATGTCCAGATGTGTTGCTAATAAATAAAAATCATGCTTAAAGCATATCTAAAGATATCTATATCTAAATATGCAAAATTGTAATATATTGCAATTTACCAATTCTTAGATGTGGTGGCTGCATTAGGTTTCTTTTTTCTTATTATTTTCACCTGGTGATCCAGCCAGTAAGTCTGTTATTTTTCAACTTTGTTTATCAGGCCAATGTCCAGAAAAAGTGTCAGATAGCCCTAAAATCAAGAGGCTTTGGATCCGAGTATATGTGTTAATAAATATAGTGCTGGGATGTAATCTACCCGTGGGAAGCACTGTTACACAAACCTATAGCAGATGTTACAAGATGCCCACAGACTCTGATCACCCATTTTCATTGCCACTAAGCCAACTATTGCTAGGTCCTGGACAACGTCAGTCCTTAGTTTCCAAGAGGTGAAAACGAGGATCACCGGCACTATGATTAACGAAAAACTATCTGCGATTCTAGTAGATTCTCATGGTAAATTTCAGAAAATTTGGAGACTCAGGATCTCTTATGTGAGCTTGCACTGTTTTGAGGATGCATTGGAATCCTCCTAAAATTGCCTAATTTCTCTTATAAGTGAACCCATGTCGAACTTCCTTATCTTGCTTTAGAACTTCTCCCTCATTCTTATGTGCCTCTACTCGACTGACTCTCTTTCATTCCCTCCTCGTTTTTCCCCTTTTTTTTCAATTCTGTTTCTCCACCCTCCTCTACTTCCTCCCCTCCTCCTCCTTCCCTACTCTAGTGCCCACTTTTGTGGCATGCTCTTCCCTCTTGTTTCTCAAGGCTTTTCACCCGAGACCATTTGTTTTTTTTAAAGCCCTCACCATTGGTCGCTTATGAGGCCAATTCAATAGGATATGTGTTGGGCCACAGTAGTTGTTTGGAGGGCGATAGGGCCCCTGGGGACCCCTGCAGGTCCATACTTCAAGGTCATCCATACATTTGCTCTGGTCCTATATTGATCCGCTTATTGACCTGCTCTGATGCCATCAGTCTATGTACACGCAATTCTTGACTGCATTTCGGCTGCTGCACCAGCTCATTGGCCTTTTCTGCCGGCTTATATTTATCAGTTGTCTATTAACATTAATTTTGAAAAATTTAAAGAAAAGTGGCAGATAGAGGGTTAAAAAAAACCCCCACTAGATTGAGTAGTTTTTATTAATTTATCCCCAAAGGAAAAAAATAAAAAATGCTAGTGCATCTAACACTATCCTCTCCACAGGGTAACAATGCTGTTGTCCAAAGGGGGCTCCATTGCTCCTCCATAGTGTGGAGTCACCTAAGACAGGAAGTGTGTTACTGGCTGAATTACCAGGTGAAAATAAGGGGGGGGGGAAGCCTAAAATAGAAAATGAATGCAGCACAAGGTCTACGGTCTGGTAAGCTGCAACATATACAATTTTTGGTTTGGGGGTTTCGATGAACCTCTTACTTTGGCCATCTAAGACAGAGTGACAAGTTCTCATTATATCTCTCCCCTCTGCTACTTACCTTCCCCATGATCCCAAGCCACTGAGCCCCGTATACAAAGCCCTGTGTAAACTCTGTTTTTGTCTGTATTGAAGCTTGCACAGAGCCTTCTCTCCATCCCTACATGGATGTGCTCAGGCCGGTAAATTAGATGCTCAGGTGCAGAAAACGAATGAAAAGGGAAAACCTTTTAATTTATTTCATTTAATGAAACAAATAATTATGCTGTTTCGGATTCGGAGGCAACGAAGCCGGCATCAGGATGACATCATATGCATGTATCGGCGGCGCCATCTTGGACGCAGCAATTGCCCATACAAAACAAATGAATATATTCCCAAATATATATTTCATATATTCGGGCATATAATAATACGTTATTTCGAATCCGGACGAAGTGCCGAATCAACGGAATTTCGTGATTCAGCAAGTTTGTCTGAATCCAAATACACATGTCTGTTCATTAATGACTCACAAGCTACAACTCCCAGCATCAGTTGCAACAATGCAATGTTGATGGTGATGCAGGGGGTGCCACAAAAGATGTTGGCGTAGGTTGGGTTTGCCCTTAGCATGTAAGTCCTTTATCTCAATTGGTTTTATTCTGATTTAATAGTTCCACTCTACAGAAAAGCCCTTAGCATGTAGGTTCTTTATCTTATTTGGTATCATTCTGATTTAATGGACTTCCCTTAATGTTGTCATGCACATTTCTAACAATATCTCTGTGTGTGTCTAAGCATATCCCTAAGTTACTTATAGTTACAGAAGCACAATACCTATGGAATAATGTCACTCGGTTAAAAAAGAACTATGAGAAGGTTGTTTGCAAAACTAACCATATAGATGGTGCTCAAGGCAAGCAAGATTTGCTTTTTGTTTCAGATTATACTAAATTGTGTGTATCTGCCTGCAGCTGTTGTGGTACCTTGTAGTGTAATCATTTGAAAAACATCCTTCTGCATTTTATACTATCTATATACAGCATATCTGCATGGAACTTTGTAAATGCAAGTTTGTTGAGTATATAAAACTTATTTTAGCTGCGTTTTGAGTGTGCTTCTTTCAATTCATAAGACACAAAAATATAGCCCCTGAAATGTGATCATTACCATCTCTTTACTTTTGCCACTTGAACTTCATCTTTGTACCATGTAATATCTGAGTCACTTAAAATATTGAAGAACTGGCACCAAAGTTTTAAGTTCCCTGATGCATCCGAAAATTGTTCCGCTCGTATCTTCCGAATGACCTGTGGAGCTTAAGAAAATTACAGATTTTTAATTGCTTTAAAACAATTTAATTGAAGCAAAATTAAAGTTGAATATGCCCAACACTTTTTCCAGGTTTAGATGCAATTAGGAAGGGTGAAATGCTGTCAAATATTTATTCCTGTGTTTCCATTGGAAAGTTTTCCACTCACTTACTACCCCGGAGACATGACAGAAAGTGAGAGGAGGAAATAGCATAAATATAGCCATTGACAGATGCCACAGAAACACATGTTCTCATTGAGGAATTTCCCTTCTTCTCTTGTTCCAGTGACAACTGTAAAAGTCTATCCAATAGGGTAACAGCAACAACAATTTGACAGTACCCAAAACTATCAAAATGCATCTATTTGCATGGAGTTACACTTTAAGTTGAGATTCTTTTTTAACAGTGACTAGGCTACAAAGTGTATACCTTTACCATGTGCAGTACACTAGTGATCTATCGGAAAGACAGTAATATTGACAATTAAATGATACTGCTTTAGAAAAATAATACTTTTAGCATTAAACAGGAATAACCATGGTATTTGTCAAGCCTTCAATATGATAGATAATTGCTCCAGCACTACAACTATTATCAAAGAGTAATGTTAGGTTTGGCATATTCTAAGTGAAAAGGGGGATTTCTAGCATTATGGAAATCTTATCTGATATCAGTCACAGCTATAGCTTAATACTACCATATTGTTAGTAATAATGATTGGAATGTTTGTGTCACTGGCTATAATTGGATTCCTCATGAGCTCAATGAGACTTAATAGAAATAAAAAAAGAAGACAACTGATACAGTTCCAAATATTTGCTTCAAATTACCCTCTTTTACCAATCCAGGTCAAAGTAAATGGGTAATTTAACACCCCCCATACACACACACACACACACACACACACACACACACCAGCACATTTACTCACCTTTCCTCAGTTTCCTACTACTCTGGTTGGCTACCAGGGCTGGGGAAGAGCAGTGTAAGAGCTTTGGACTGCTTCCATGGCCCAGTGTAGCTACCCTGTCCCAAGGTAACAGCACTGGGCCAAGCACAAGGCACCAACGCTGTGACATAAAAGAGGGGAAGTGAATCACATGCTCAAGTATACCCAGAAGTGCTGTGTATTTCACTTCACACTAATTTGCTAAGCAGAGGGGCAGGTTAGTGAAGGAAAACATGGAGTTTTATTCAGATTCCTCTGCTGGTTTTCATCTTGGCAGTAACTCAGCTATGCTGTGCTAGTATTAATGTACATTTTGATCACTTTCTGTGCTGCTCCAGGTTATACAGTCAAAAAGGTAGTAGATGTAAGCTTCAATCATTCATAACAGACACCAGGCATAGTCAATTTGGATTTGGGTTAGTTTATCTCCATGTTTAGCCAAAATGCTTTTGGAATAAAAATTGATGCAACACAGTCAGGGCTCATTACAACTAAGTTTCAGGTTGCCTCTGGTCACCTGTAGATCAGATTTAAAGAATCATTTTTCTCTATGGTTCACATCGGGAAATACAACATATCTATGTCATTAAAACTAAGTTAATGCCCCACCTTTATATGGATCTTTGACTTTTTTAATTTCTGTAATCTGTGGTTCTTCCTTAGGTAAAACACTTGAGTCTTTTGTTTCTTGAGAACTATAGTCAGTGGAGTTTTTTTCATCTACAGTTTCTTCACAAATTTTTGGAACATCTAGCATTGGCATTCTTCGGGTTGTACCAGGGGAACGTCTTTCCACTGGGGGAGACTGAGATACCAAAAGTGAACTGCTTTTTCTAGACAATCCTGGGGATACGTTGGGGCTCTCTCTTTTGGAGGGTGGTGTTAAGGATCCCTTATTACCATCATTTTCATCATCCAGTTGTTTAGACTTAGGAAGATATATCTTACGGCGAGCACCAGAAGCCAGCTCCTGTGGTGTTGCCGATGGGATTGCAGATAAGTTCTCACTAGACTTCCATTTACGATTGCTGTCTCTTTGGGATTCATACAACATATCTCCAGGTGTTTTCTCAGAACATAGGCTACCAACAACTATAGAAGGCACAGATAATGCAGCAATGGAATTTGATGCTGAAGCAATTTTAGCTGCAATTTTTCTTGATGTGGAAGGACTGAAACTTAGGTCTTCTTTAGTCAAGAAGGTTTCTTCACAGATGCCCTTTGAACTTCTCTTTGGTATGGCTGGACTTAATGGAGCACTTTCCACTTGAGCTATTTCTCCTTTCCTTGAAAAATCAGAGATTCTCCTGGGAATTGTTGGACTTGTTGGCAATGAATCTGCACTATGAACCATGTCTTCTTCTGATGATGGAGTCAGTTTACCTGAAGTGGAAGCGGAATGCATGCTTTCTGGACTCTGTGGGGAGTCACTCTCCTTGCTAGATTCATAAACATTTTGGGAACTTGGGGGACTTCTTTCAGGTGAATATATGTCTCCAGATGATTCTTGGTGAGATTCAGCCAAGTTTCTTTGGCTTTTTGTTTCAACTTTATGTTCTTCAGTGTCTGTTGTTTTCATGTGAAACAACATCAACAAAGAGTTTTTCAGGGTTGTTACAAGACTGTGATCCTGTTTATTTTGATGTTTTGATGCATTTTCCTGAACAAGTTCCTGCTCTAAATGTATAGAAAGTGGTTCACTGGGAGGCAGGTCTGTTTTAGGTACCTTCTCTTTGAAGGTTGAACTTTTAGTTACAAATTGCTCAGATTCTTTATCATGTCTCACATTTTGTGGCAAGGGTTGCATTAAATCATCTTTGTAATGGTCTTCAGCCTGTTCTGGAGCTTTCAAGGCCATTGGATCTACGGAGCTTTCTTCCTTAGTAGTCACTGCAGAATCCAAAGCTTTTTTCACATCACGAAGGAGGGTCACCACTGACTGGTTTTGATCACATGGTAATAATTTAGTTGAACTGTCTACTGGAGGATTAGCATCCAGTATATTTTCAGCTGTTTCTGCAACATGTTCTTGACTTGGTAATTTTGATGTTTTGTTTACTTGCTCAGTTATATTTGTTGTTGCAGTGGAAAAGCCACCAGATGTACCATCTAACAGTTGTTGTGCCTTTAGTTTCTTCTCCTCCTCTTCAATCATCTCAACTTCATTAGACCATGTACCTGCAGCCTCTGAGAGTCCTGTAGACTTTTCAGTGGGAAGCACTGTAATATTTAGTGGGCCTTTATCCCTTTCTACAGCCTGCTTCTCCTTTAAATGTACATCAGATTCTGATTTAATTTTTTCATTTATCTCTTTTTGTTGACACACTGCTTGTGTATGAACTTCTTGTTGCTCATCCTGAGTCACAGCACTCAGTGCAGGTGTTTCTTCTGGTTTAGTACACTCTTCAGTCTCAATATGCATTGGTTCTGGCGAGTTGGGACATTTCAAAGTAGCCTTCTCTTCCATGATTTCTTGTGCTTTGGCAACCTTTGTTTCAGTGCTTTCAATTAGCTTCACTACAGGAGATTCCATATATCCTGAGGGTCCATGTATCTGAAAGAAATATACCAGTAAGGAAATACATTAAATGGGATTTTACATACCGGTAATACTACACTTAGCATATTATTATCTTTCACTTAGAAAATATATAAAGGCAGGTTATGGTAAATAGGCCAAAAGTGACCAAAAGTTCTACACTAAACTTCTGGGAATTACAACTCTGGCTTTTAAAAACTGAAGAAAAAAAATCACGTCAGATTCAAATGCAATAAATAAGGATAATAATAATAAATAAGGAGTTTATTCCCCAATGACAGTGGATGGAGCAACAAACTATGGCATTTGGAATCAGTGGCCCTAAAACATTAGCTCATATCCGTTCTGTAAACCAGTAATTGCTGCACATTTGATCTCTGGAACATCAAGGTTTGCATAGCTCTGCATACTCTATATAAATGTGGGCTCCTTATTTATGGATTTGTGATAGAAGTGATGAAACACAGAAACCTTCTCTTTTGAAAATATAATGCTGCAATTCATCTTTAAAGACACTTCACTGACATTAAGAGTGGTAGTTGTTTCTGCCCATATTAATGTAATCAATTTGAACTTGATTTAAAATCAATGTGAGCTGTAAATAAATCTTCAATAACAAGAAAACTATTTCAAAACATATATGCTACCTTGGCCTTTTGAGCTTTTGCCTTCTCAGATTGAGGAGTCTGTGCCTCTGCCTTCTGTGTCTCTACTTCCATGGCCTCTGCCATTTGTGCCTCTGCTTTCATATCCTTTTCCCTCTGTGTCTCTTCTTTCACTTCCTCTGCCCTCTGTGCCTCTGGTTTTTGTGTCTCTGAATTCTTTGCCTCTGATTTCTGTGTCTCAGTCCTCTGTGCCTCTGGCTTCATTGCCTGAGCCATTTGTGTCTCCGCCTTCTGCACCTCTGACTTCATTACCTCCGCCCTCTGTGACTCTGCCATTATTGCCTCGTCCCTCTGTGCCTCTGCCTTCATTGCCTCTGATTTGTGTCCCTTTGCCTTCATTGCCTTAGTCCTCTGTGCATCTGTTTTCTGTGCCTGTGCCTTCCGTTCTTCTGGCTTTTGTGCCTCTACCCTCTGTGCCTTTGCCTTCATTGGCCCTACCAGCTGTGCCTCTTCCTTTTGTGCCTCTATCTTCATTGCCTCAGTCCTCTGTATATCTGTTTCCTGTACCTCTGCCCTCTGTGTCTCTGCCTTCTGTGTTTCTGCTTTCTGTTGCTTTGCCTTCTGTGTTTCTGTAATTTGTGCCTCTCCTTTCATTTCCTCTGCTCTCTGTGCCTTTGATTTTGGTGTCTCGGCCTTCTTTGCCCCTGCTTTCTGTGTCTCTGAATTCTGTGTCTCAGTCCTCAGTGTCTCTGCTTTAATTACCTGAGCCCTCTGTGTCTCTGCCTTCTGCACCTCTGCCTTCAGTACCTCTGTCATCTGTGCCTCTGCCATTATTGCCTCTTCTCTCTGTTCCTCTGCCTTCACTGTCTCTGCTTTGTGAGCCTCTGCCTTCATTGCATTAGTCATTTGTTCATCTGTTTTCTGTGCCTCTGCCCTCTGCGCCTTTGCCTTCAATGGCACTACCCTCTGTGCCTCTTCCTTCTGTGTCTCTGCCTTCATTGCCTCTGCTTTTTGTGCCTCTGCATTCTGTGCTTTCAATTCCTTTCCCCTCTGTGTCTCTTCCTTCATTTCCTCTGCCCTCTGTGCCTCTGGTTTTGGTGTCTCTGCCTTCTTTACCTCTGCTTTCTGTGTCTCCACCTTCTGCACCTCTGCCTTCTGTGTCTCTGCCCTTTCAGTCTTTGCCTTCATTGGTCCTATCCTCTGTGTCTCTTCCTTCTGTGCCTTTGCCCTCATTTCCTCTGCTTTTTGTGTCTCTGCCTTAGTCCTCTGTGCATCTGCTTTCTGTACCTCTGCCCTCTGTGCCTCTGCCTTCTGTCCTTCTGCTTTCTGTAGCTCTGCCTTCTGTTCCTCTATGTTCATTTCCTTTTCCCTCTGTGTCTCTTTTTTAATTTCCTCTTCCCTCTGTGCCACTGATTTTTGTGTCTCTGCCTTCTGTACCTCTGCCCTCTGTGCTTTTAACTTCATTGCCCCTACCCTCTGTGCCTCTTCCTTTTGTGCGTCTGCTTTCTGTGCTTTTTGATGAATTGCTCCTACCCTCTGTGCCTCTGCCTTCATTGCCTCTGCTTTTTGTGGCTCTGCCTTCATTGCCATAGTCCTCTGTGCATCTGCTCTCTGTGCCTCTGCTCTTCGTGCATCTGCCTTCTGTGCCTCTGCTTTCTGTATCTCTGCCTTCTGTGTCTCAGGCCGCTGTGCCTCTGCATTTATTACCTGAGCCCTCTGTACCTCCGCCTTCTGCCCCACTGCCTTCATTAACTCTGGCTTCTGTGCCCCTGCAATGATTGTTTCTCCCCTCTGTGCCTCTGCCTTCATTGCGTCTGACTTGTGTGCTTCTCCCTTTATTGCCTTAGTCCTCTGTGCATCTGTTTTCTGTGCCTCTGTCCTCTGTGTCTTTTCCTTAATTGCCCCTACCCTATGTGCCTCTTCCTTTTGTGCCTCTGCTTTTTGTGCCTCTGCCTTCTTTGTTTCTGCCTTCTGTGGCTCTGACCTCTTTGCATTTTCTTTCATTTTCCCCACTCTCTGTGCCTCCACATTCTGTGCCTTTGCCTTCATTGTCTCTGCCCTATGTGTCTCTGTCTTTATGGCCTCCGCCCTCTGTACCTCTGCCTTCTGTGCCTCTGCCCTCTGTTCCTCTGCCTTCATTGCCTCTGCCTTCATTGCCTCTGCCCTCATTTCCTCTGCATTCTGGCTGAGTTCAAGCTCCTGCTGCAGTAGGGCATATGCTTTCTGTAAAGCCATGTATTCCACTTCCAAATTTTGCAGCTTCTGTAGTGTCTCTGTTCGGGTCTTCTCCTGAGAAAAATGACACATACACACATCAGGAAAAGATTAATATGAATCCACCTTGCATTTACAATGGAACACAAAAGGTTCTTCATCGCTAATTTATTTACAGTACAGCCTGTACAAAAATAGGACACATGGCACGGTATGGCCCAATAAATGAGGGGTATAAGAACATTTTCTTGGCAATATCCAGCTTCCATGCATACTGCATGTATACTTATTTATATTCTTTTTTTTATGCACACGTTTGTTGTTTTGTTTTGCATACTTAAAAACAATATACATAATATCACATCATACAACATACAGTATAATAAATTAGTCAAACTGCAGATTGAATCCGAGAAAAGATCTTCTGGGGGTCACCAACACTGTGGGTGCTCTCCTAGTCAAATTTTTTGTAAGAGGAACCATACTCCAAACCAGATCATCTCAGAAGAGGTGAGCAGTTCCCAGATGGAAAACAGATTGCACAGTGGATACAATGTTATAAACTTAACTACAACAAAAGAAACAAAGCCACAAGGCTCACATTACCTGCCGTGACCCAGAACTAATTATGTCCTAACATTAAAGAGAGCTGTATTCTGAAGATAAAATTCAGCAAATGATATCGCCTGCCCCCCACCCCCCTTATCAAAAAGCTTCACAGACCAAAGATGTAGGGTTACCTCCTTTTCCACTGCCACACTGAACAGCACCGGGCAGTGTTTCAAACAGAAATTGAGCTGGGCGCTCTGCTATAGTTAACATGTGTGGCACCTGGTTTATAGAAATTAATGAGTGAACTATCTACCTACACTGATAACAAAGAGATAGAAAAAGAGCATAAATGAATTGATTAGTCTAAACCTTTGACTGCCAATGACAAAAGTTCACATAAAGCTCATTTTATCCCACCTCGACCTAACCACTGAACTATCACATTCTCAAACAATTCATCCCCACACAGCTACCTCCTCATGTATCACTGGCCCCTCCCTTTTAGATTGTAAGCCCTCATGGGCAGGGCCCACCTTACCATCTTGTATTGAATTCTATTGTAATTGTAATGTCTTCCTTATATTGTAAAGCTCTGCGGAAACTGTTGGCACTATCTAAATCCTGTATAATAATAATAATAATAATAATAATGTTAACAGTAAACTGTCAGCTTATGCCAATTATGTTCAAGCACTCTAGTAACACATATCTATCTGGAAAGGCAGATTGAGAGATTGCAATATCATTAACTGCATGAGTAGCTGTCAATGTGCTGGCTCCATGCATTTCAGAAGGTGCACCAAATTGTTTGTCCTGCCCCAAATAAGAGAAGAAATCAAAATCTAGTTGGCACGAGTCTGCATATTATCACTCCTCTTCATTCTGTCTTGTTACAAAGCCTGAATGTAGCCTCCAGATCGACTGTAAGTATCAGCTCTACAGAAGGGATGAACGAAAGGAAGATTGGTTCCTGTAGCTTTAGACTGTGATATTGGAAGTCGCTTGGTTGCTGTACGATGGTTGTTGTAAAGTTAGAAGTTATACCCTGAGCTAAAATGCTACAAAATTGTGTGTGATAATTTCACTTTACTCTAGATGCCACTTGTAATCAGTCTGTATTTCAGATTTCCATCACGTCATTATCACTTGGCTATTTTCTCATAGACACGACTTCTAATACCAGTAGTGTGTAGGTCATAGTAGCCTCTATGACTGACATATTCACACTATTCTGGTTATATTTCAATGGCTACAGATGTGTCTGTTTATTTTCTTCGGTGAGAATGATGAAATCACCTACTGCTTTTAGTGCAGGTGAATTTAGTTGAGCAATATTTGCAAATCCAAACATGGGAATAGCTAATCAGTGTCAACATTCTGTGCAGCTGAGAATATAGTCACTTTCTAAATATAGAACCAGCCAAGGGTCTAGACGTTACTATTACTTTACTGTCATACCGTAAATAAATATACTTACATGCACACTGATCACAATAGATTAAAGCAATTCTTTAGATACAATGGGTAATTCAGTAACTGTTACCAGTGATATAAAATATATTTTTTAAATTCTCATGTATGAAACTAATTGACAAACCTTTTTACAATCGATGGCTTGTTCTATTATCATGGTTGTCCCTGTTCTAGGTAGCCAAAAATGTGTGGTATATGTCTCGGCAATTAAAGGGTTAGAGCAGGGGTGCCCATTAGGTAGATCGTGATGTACCAGTAGCTCTCAAAGCTGATTCTGGTAGATCATGAAGGGTGTGAATGGTGGCCCCTTTATTCCATTTTGGTATATTTATTTAGCTGTCCTTTATGTTAGTTTACTCAGCCTGTTGCACTGCACTGTTTGCAAAATACAGCAAGGTGAGCCAGGAGAGAGAGCGGAGAGAGACAGACAGGAGAGAGAGAGGAGAGACAGCCAGGGGAGAGAGCAAAGAGAGACAGCCAAGAGATCAAGAGACAGGAGAGAGAGCAGACAGACAGGAGAGAGAGCTAGTGGAGAGAGAGCAAGGAGAGACAGCCAGGAAAGAGAGAGAGGAGAGACAGCCAGGAAAGAGAGAGACGAGAGACAGCCAGGGGAGAGTGCAATGAGAGACAGCCTAGAGAGTGAAGAGAGACAGCCAGTAGAGAAAATGAGGAATGACAGCCAGGGGAGAGAAAGCGAGGAAAGACAGCCAGGAGAGAGAGGAGAGACAGCCAGGAGGATGAGAAAGGAGAGACAGCCAGGAGAGAGAGAGCAAGGAGAGACAGCCAGAAGAGAGAGAGCAAGGGAGGTTTTTTCGTTGGTAGATCTCATGTAGCTCGTCATTTGAAAAGTAGATCTTAACACAAACAATTGTGGCCACCCCTGGGTTAGAGCATGGCTCATGAGCACTTCCAAGTATGTCCTGGTCTAGGGAGGTGGTTCAAGCGAAGCTATAATGGTTCTGGGTCAACTTGTTAATTTTTTTAAAGTTTAAATTATTTTTTAAACTGATGTTTGATATCTTTTTATATTTAATATAGGGTACATCCATAACAAATAGCATTTTGGGTTTTCTGAAAGGAGAGCATAGCAGTAGCTTTACCCTTTAAAATTTACTCTCTGTAATGGCCTGTGTACAATTTCTTCATTTTAGAACTACTATTATATCCATTTAAGTCAATGGCAATGCAAAATCAACTTAGAGCAGTTTAATGCAGCTTAGAAGGTCAACTACAGGTCAAAAGAAGGTCATCTGTAGGTCAAATGCTCCCGTTAATGAACTGTGAATGATCTCAAAAGCCCCCCAAACTGATCTCAAATGCAGGCTAACTGCACCCGAAAGCTGTATTTGTCTTTGAAACAAGTCCTAGATGAAACATTGATTTATACAGCTGTGTGCGTAATTTGAGCTTCAGCTATTCTCCTCTGTAAAAAGACTTATTCCAGCAAATAAGTTTGGTCTAGCATACATGCGAAAATGGACATAGTGCTACACCTGCTAGATGGAAATAGTGAATACCAAACTTAAAAACTTAACCTGAAAACATGCATTTTAAAAAATGTGCTTTGGTTCTGAACTTAATAATTAGAGAAAATATATTCCAAAACACCAGGAATGAAAAGAAAAAAAAAAAGACACTGTCCTAATCTCCATCTACTGCACACAGTGGAGATATCAGGGTTCAGTCCATAAAGTGGATATGTCAAGCTGACACGAAATAAAAAAGTCAAAAGAAGTTTAAAAAAAAGCAATATTCCACATATGTGATGCACAAATAAGGGAACACAAATATACAGGCATACATAAGACCCCTTTACATTATACACATTAAAGTGACACTAAACTCAGGAGTTAAATCTTAAAAAAGCACATAACTATTAACAAAAATGTATTTTATTTGTGCATCATTCAGCTGTAGATCCTCAAATCATCTCTGAATTCATGCTGATACTGTTCCCCATGGTTCCTGTAGGTGTTGTACAGTAGCCACCGCTCCAAGATCACTACTGCAATTGACTATAACTTCAATACAAATTAGCTAAATAAACATTGTAGATTGTACTTCATCACGGGAGCAAGCTTGGAGTGGAACAGAGAGAACATCATAAAGACTAATTTTCAGGATATAAGGGGGCCCTTCCTTTTGCCATTTATTATCTGACCCCTCTGGAATCAAGAGTTTAATGCAGGTAAGCAATGATATGCAATTAAAGTGACTGTGGTAAACAAATTTTTTGGATGTGTCCTTTGTGGTTTGTTTCTGCACTCACAGCCACTGCAATTCTTCTCTCAAGCCAAGCAAAATGAAGAGCAGCACCAGTCTTTTTTTTACAAGTGCAAAAATAAATATTTATTAAAAAACATAAATGGATCAAGCATCTGAATTGTGGTTGCTCAAAGACTTTGGGGCTGATTTACAAAATCAATATCACCAATCATGTTTTACTACTTTTGGGGTTTTCTAATTTCCCTTGCACATAAATTGATATTTAAAGAGATCATGAGTTTACCTGATTTACTAACAACTACTTTGCAAAGTGAACATATAGTCTACTCCTTTACTAATACAACCAGTTTGTGTTATATAGCAGTATCTTTACTGGTGTATACAATATAATCCATACGATAAGATTTAGGGCCTGTGTTGACCAAGGTTGGCTTGTGTCGATGGCATGAGTTTGGCATCAGTTTGAGATGCTTCTGAGATTATTCAGAATTCATTGATGGGGCATTTAAACTGCAGTTGACCTCCTGACCTGCACTTCACCTACTTCAATCAGGTTTTGAAACATTGTGAATTCGGACATTCGGATGCATCCGAATGTCTGAATTCCAACAAGGTGAATGCAAATGAATCTGAATGTTCTTTTAACAAAATTTAAGATCATCCAAATTTTGTTCATAATGAAACTAAATTGTACACGTGGCTGTTTTCTGCCCAATCAGAAAACCCCATCCAAAACTAAAACAAAATTCCGAAAGATCTGAATCGGAAAAAATTTAATTAAATGGCATTCGGACCTGAAAGCCCAAACCCGGCTTACATGTCTA